TAAAAAACAACAAAAAATGTTCCTAACTATGTCCTCTAACGATGAGTTTGCACTATCTACTTCGTTTCATGGTAAGATGACTCTCCTTTTGTTGTATTTCTGGGTGAAATTTTCATCGTTGTCAAATATTCAACTTTTCACTCCGAAAATTTCATTATTCTATTTTATACTGAATCACTTATTGTTCAGTGTGATGTAGTTTAAGTAGGATTTGAAATGATTCATATCTTACAAATATCTATTTCTGAACTAACCGAAGCACATTTCTTTCTATAAGCGTTATCTTGGCTGATGAATGTGCAAGACATGATTTTTTTAAACAAATTAAGTCAATATAAATTAACGTTTGAAGACGCTATATGTTCAAGTACACTTATCCAAGCAATGACCCGTGTCGTCCAAATGGATACCCAACTGGTGCCTCTACTTCAGCACAGTGTACCACATTATCCCATTCTTACGCAACTCCATAACTATGCAAGCTCTGGAATCCTAACAGAATTCTGGATCTCTGGAAACCCGAAGGAAGTATACAATTTATTTTAATTTACACTCAAATTCACATTATAATCTCCGTGAGTAATTTTATACCAAATTAATTCTAAAATAATTTCATACATTCCTAAAAACTAAAGTTGTCAGCCATCCTTCGTAATAACTTCAGTACATTTCACAGAATATACAGGATGTATTTACTTTATAATTAAAAAATGAAATTATATTTAAATTCTCCACGATTCAACATCACAAAGATACATTTTAAACACGACTTCAACAAGAGTTGGTGTCGAAACAACGAAAAGGAGATGTATCAAAGAAACTAAAGCACACATAACGTCTCAAACCACGAATATATGCTAAATGAAATATTTTAAATCAAAGATGTCTATCAAGTATATGATTGTTAAATAATCTACGAATTTGAGTGCAAAGATAAACATTTATCAGAGTTATACAAGTCAACAAAGCAAACAAAAATGATTGTGACAGACTTTCGGTTAGTCTATGAGTATTCCTTAAAATAGTTTGCCTTGTAGATTAATCTTCTATGAATTAATTCATTGTGAAAATATCCACCTTTGGAATAAAAGTCTTCACAATCAACTGAATCATACCTCTTGTACGTCTTGAAGTTTTACAAATTTGCAAGAGCAATTTTGAAACTTAATTATATCACATTCTTTACAGTCAAAGCATTAACTTTTCTAATATTTTCTAAAACAATAGATCAAATTTTCATTTAAAATTTTTTTCGATGCATTGTACAGGAATATTGAAAAGTTCGTACATTCTTAAGGGAAGGCAGTAAATGACATTTTAACACATTTTTATCATTGTCTGTGAAACTACTGAAGTGGTAATTTCCATCTTTTTGTCGGAGAACAATTAATATTTAATATATGGGACCAAAATGAGTGCAGTAATTTTCATGTTTCAGAATTCCTGCATAAAAGTACAGATAAAATAATGTAAATATTCCGACTTAAACATAAAAAAAATGTCGTGAATTAAAAAAACTAACAATCCAATACCAAAGATGAAAATCTTCTAGTATTTACTTAAAACATTTCTACCAAGTAGCTGCTAAAATTTTACACTACTAGATTGAATATTTTCATAGATAATGCGGCAAATGTACGGCAAAATTAAAATGAGAGAGAGAGAGAGAGAGAGAGAGACAGGGCTCTATGTCTCCCCTTGCGCAATACGTCAGAAGAAGAGTTTGGCCCACTGAGTGCGGAGCCGGGACGACGTCCACAGTCAAAGCAGCGCGTGACGGGAATGCAATAGGAGAAACCGTTGTCGTAGAAAGTGACGAGGCAGCACGGCCTGCCAGCGCCGCTACCGAGAGCACTTGTCGCGGGAAAACCGCAGGACTGGCGCGCTGTAAGCGCTCTGCGCAAACAAGGAACGAGAACAGAGAAATCCAGACTAGAAAAACGTACAAACGCAATGAACTAGTAACAATTAATCGAAAACAACTTAATAGAATAGTTGGAAAGAAAAAACTGGATTAGTTGATTTTTTTTTATGGTTGCAGTTCGACTCCAATTCTTTTGAAACTAAAATTAATCCATTCATTTTCTTTAAAACTGGCACTTCATAAATTACTTAATTTTGTCCATACTTCGAGGTCTCTATTCAAGATCCCTCGAATTTTTCCCATGAAATTTCAAATTTGATTAACTAAAAATAAATTACAGTGTAGAATTAGTTCAAACTTTAGGATGGCTCATAGGCAGCGTACTAGCATTCTATGGTGTGACCTCGGGTTCGATTCGCGAGGTGCTGCAAAAATGGAACTTTAGCTTTCTTTGAAAGTCGCACCAGTTTATGTAGCTCTGTGACGAAGAAAAGCTCAGGCTAGCAGTTCACTATTCCGTTTTGTGTATCTTATTTTCTATCAGTTGAGACGAGAAACGAAAAGTTCCTAATCTGTCTCATAAATGGTTTGCACATCAGTTCAAAATAACTGAAAGAGTCTATTTTTATTTTATATACATAGTTCATTAGGCAACGGCCAACAGGAAAACTGAAAGCAACCAGAACGTGCCCGCAGTGCAGTAGTGACAAAAGTGTTGCCTATGCGCACAGGGGCATTTCAAAGTAAAGAATAAATCGACACTGTTTTTTGAACGACGTAGGAGTTTGGGCAAGTTCTTACATAAATGTCGCGGAATAAATTTCAGAGCTCCAACTATTGGGACCATCTGCGTTTGTACACTCCACATGCGGCTGATCTCGATTAACAAACTCGTATGTTTAAGACATGTCCCTGCCTCCTTGGTTACAACGATTTGATTGCACAGCATCATATAAAATAAGACTTGATTTTTTTTTAAATACCGAATAACTAGTGTTGGCAAGAATTAATCGATTGATTGAAAGCAAAAAATCAATTAATTTAATATTTTTGTTGTAATTAATGAATTATGATTAAATTGAAATGTTTATTTAATTAATTTTTTTTAATTTTGTGAGTCCATTCTTTGAATACTTAGAATATCTTAGAACTGTTAGTCTCCTTTATTACGATGATTTTAACTAAATCGTGCTATTTATATGTAAATGCTTGTTAATGTGTGATACAAACAATAATCTGAAATATGATATTCAACCCAATTTGATCATCATTAAGAAGTTATTTCAGAAAATTCGACAATCAAAAGTCAGAACTCTTTTGAAAACAATAAGTTTTTTTAAATAATCATGACTCTGGTATAGTGTATAAAATGAAGAAATGTACAAATGATATGTTTATGCAATATTTCCAGCTCACGTTCTTTTCGTGACCTTTTACATTGATACCGTCCAATAAAATGTCCACGCGCATGGAACTACACATTTTACAGGGCCGAGGGTAAGCCTTTCTAAAAGGCAATCTCGTGTTCTCCCGCTACCATGTTTGTGAATAAGAACACTGCCCCGGCATTCAACTGAAATTGATCCACGGAAAACTACCTATCAGAGCAGCCGGCCATTAGAATTGTCGTCCACAGTGGTTGAATTCGACTCATATCAAGAGAGAATTGATTACGAGACGTTATAATGAAGTAATATCAATTTAAAAATTATACGACTCCGGAGTAAACATCGTAAACAGTTACATGTTAACATTGTAAGCAACATTCACAGAGCTCCTTTTGTTTCGCAAAGGGAATTCAATGGTAATGAAACCTTGGGATCAGAGGCGCCCACCATAATATTAATTTGTTGAGTTGCAAAACTCATTGCGCATTATATTTACTCGTGAGATACATTAAAGTTCATGTAGTCGTTTTAAGTGTCGTAAGGCGAAAAATGTCAGGTGCTGTTATTGGAATATTTATGTTTCCGAGGGTTTGGCGACAATTACATGTTACATGATTAAGAAGTTTGAGAATTTATGCGGTTTTGAATTTGTGATAGAGAGGATAATTATGGAAATTTTCATTCAAAAGAGTATTTTTACTATGGAGAGTAAACTTTTGTATACGGTTGGTTATCTCGACCCAAATTCAATTCTCACTCGCATATTTGGGTCGCATTCAAATAATCTGCACGAGAATTCTAACATTCTGCTGCTTTGATCAACAGTTTTCTGTAACTTCTCCGATCAATACCAGGCGAATGCTGGAGCAGCACTCTAACATATCTAGAGAGGGAAACCCGCAAACAGGCATACCTTTCTGCCGAAATTTACATTTCAGCAGGAATAGGACACCACCACTTCCCTAGGTATAACACGCACTACACTTACGACGCTACACCCAACAAATGTCAACTGATGTCACTACAGTGCCTTTGGGCGGGAGGTCCTGGGGTTCGCGTCCCGACGGTCGCTGAATTTTCGACACTAGTCAGATAGCTAGGTCGAGATCGGTCGGTTTGTGGAGGATAATTCTAATGTGCGGCTACTCCGATAGATAGTTTCCGTGGTTTCAACAATAAATACTAGGTGAATGCTGGAGCAGTATCCTACCAAACGGGCCACGCACCGCGCGCGGTGTTTCCTTTACATTCCTTGTTCTATTCTCACACACCAACATATATGAACTACACTACTACATATGCCAGAAGGCCAGTCAGGAGCTTAGTTTGTCCCGGCTGGGTTGGAACCCCACTGGTGGGAGATACCTGGTTCAGGAAAACCCCGCTATCCGACGGTTGGTAAACGCAGGATCTCGCCATCCATTGAGACAAATATCACTGCCACCTCCTGAGCAAAACCATACACTACGCTTTGGTACTAATGACCATAGCAGTTGATACGGCCCGGTGTCACCAGTAACCAATAAGCCAACAAAAGCTGAGTGGTGGCGTTGTCTGTTGCAGCTGGTGGTGAGCCCCCCGTTTAGAGGCCGAGCCGTGATGGCGCCGCGCGCGTGGCTGTGGATGCTGGTGGTGCTGGGAGCGAGACTGTGGGCGGCCGAGGGCTCGGCGGAGGTGGACGCGGGGCATTACGAGTCGCCCGCGCCAGCGCCCGGCGCCACGCCCACCTCCTCGCCCGGCCCGCCCGAGCCCTCGCTCCCCGAGCGCTCGCCGCGCCCGCACATCGTCTTCATCCTCGCCGACGACTTGGTGAGGCACTCATTTGTCACATGAAATGTTTTCATGTAAATGTCACCTTTCCTGCTACCTTCTTGGACGCAATTACGCTCGGAAATATGTCCCATAGTTGTAAAGAAATCCACGTTGTGGCCATGTTACTGAGTAACAAATGTATTTTAATTAATTAAATGTATTAAATTAATTTTCTTCAAAGAATTAGTCGTCCTGACCAGGATTCGATCCCGCGCCTACTGGTTTACGTCCAGATTATCCAGATTCATTGTCTCGGTAGATTAGTGGTTAGAGGGGTTATGGGTTAGAGGGGTTAAACCAGGAGGCGCCGATTCGAATCCCAGTCGAGGCGGACAATTCTTTGGATAAATTTAATTAGCGAAATGTTTGCAACAATTAGTCAGTAGAAATCGAAATTTTAGACAGCCACTAGTAAAAGCGATTACTTTTAGGGCATTAATGCTGACTTGTTCTGTGATTGGAACAAAGAAAACAAAATACTTTTGTTTGATCAGATGCAGATGATCTTAATGTAACATGGTACCATATTCAGTAACTTCTATACTTGGTTTAAAATAAACGGAGTGCTCGTAAGGCAGTCTAAAACATAGTGTATGACCCACGTGGTAAAAATGATTTTATTTTTCTCCTAGTATTGCGGCACTCGGCTATTAACATTTCCTACTCGCAAAATGAAATGTTATTTTACATTTCGTATCATTAATTACTATTAATGCAAACAGTTCATTCGTATCTATGACCACTAATTCATCGCGACAAAATAATAATAGATCTTAAATCTATGTTCTATTTGTGTAAGCACTGTAGATTTCTACTTCTGAAGGCGTTCCCTTCTAATGACAAGCGCCCCGTCTGGGGGCCGTAAGTGTCTGAGGCTAAGAGTCGGACGATGTCGCAGGGCTTCAACGACGTAGGCTTCCGCGGGAGTGACCAGATCCCGACGCCCAACATTGACGCGCTGGCGTACGGAGGGCTGGTGCTGGAGCGCTACTACGTGACGCCCGTCTGCACACCCACGCGAGCCGCGCTGCTCACGGGCCGACACCCCATCCACAACGGTCAGTACACATTTCTCGTTCCCCCCTTGCTCCACCTTCTTTTTATTACTTTATTCCTCCTCCTTCTCAACCACCTTGTTCGTCTTCTTAATCATCTTCCTATTCTTGTCCTTTCCTACCATCTTAACCTCTTCCTTCTCTTTCTTCTCCACCAGCATCTTCTCCTCCACAATCGTTGCCTCTTCTCCTCCCTCACCTAATCTCCTACATCTTTTTTCCCTCTTTTTTCTAGTCTACCTCGACTTCCTTGAGTTCATAGAATAGTATTGTTCCTGTGTCTGTAGAGATTCTTCTTGATCCTCCTATGTCTCTTCTTCCATTCAGCATATTGTTATACACTGATCTACCCATCTACTTTTGTTTTCTCAAGGGTCACAATTGAGCGTCGCGTTGCTACTAGTTTGCTTCGATCGGTTTTCTTGTTTACCTGCCGATGTAAAAACTGACTTCTATAGGGGATCGCAGAGAAAATGCAAGGGAGAACATGTTGACTTTCATCCAACGTTAATGTTACTTGCTTTACCTTACTAGTTATTTAACTTGCTAATGGTAAGATTGAATAGTAAACTTGTTGCTCGCTTAGTGTGTGAATATTATGTCCGGACACAGTGCATACTTATTTCTTGTACCCATTAGAAATGATAATTCGCAAGGTCACCTTACATCCGTTTTTTGTTCATTGCCTACGTTGTTTATGTTCATTACATGTCCGTAGGCCGGACGGGAGCTTAAGGCTTCTCGCGGCTGGCGCGCTGCCTCGCTTTTGGAAGATACCTGCATAGAGAAAAAAAATTCTAGCCGTCAGGCTACGGGCCAAGGACAGGGCGAGATCTTTCCTTCCCATTCTTTATCCTATCATGTCCCTTATATACACACTTACATGCAGTATACTGCCACATATGCCGGGAGAACGGTCGGGAGATTTGAGCAGGGGGAGATACGTTCGTACCCCACTGGGTGGAGATACCTTTTGGGGGAAATCTCAGTAGCCGACAGTAGGTCGGTGCCGGATCTTATCATCCACCGGGGCCACCTCCCGAGGCAAAACATGCAACGACCTCAGCAGGGACTAACGACCTGAGCGGTTGACGCGCCCGGAATCACGAATCTCTCAGTCAACTGGAGTGGCGGTGGTGGTGGCGGCTGGTGCGCAGGCATGCAGCACTCGGTGCTGTACGGCGCCGAGCCGCGCGGACTGCCGCTGTCGGAGACGCTGATGCCGCAGCACCTGCGGCGCCTGGGCTACGCGTCGCACCTCGTGGGCAAGTGGCACCTGGGCTCCTTCCGGCGCGAGTACACGCCCACGCAGCGCGGCTTCGACTCGCACCTGGGCTTCTGGACGGGCCACCACGACTACTACGACCACACCGCCGTCGAGACCGTGAGTGCACGCGCCCGCGCGCGCATGCGTTCTGCCAACATTTCTAGCTATCGTCATTTTCAGAAATTCAAAGACTACAAAGAGAATAACCTGTAACATTGCCCAAGTCCATTGTTCTATCAGTGGTAAAAATTTCAACAAAAAAATGTGCAGCCGCTTTTGAGATTTTTTTATAATTTGTATAAACTTTAAGCAGAAATTACGAGAAAACTATTAATTTTTTCTCAAAAAATTGTACATGACCTTTTTTTAAATATGGTTTTTTAGAACAGAGTTCATATAAGACATAAATCTCTATCTTCAATATTGTACTTTTGCAATGATATTTTTTGCAATATACGAAAATACAGAGAATTCGCCGAAAAGGGGATCATCACCTTTTTTACCGTCCTTTGTCTTAAACGAGCAGAAAATGTGAAGAAAAAATGGCTTCTGAAAAATTGTTTATGTGCATTAGAACTTTCCTCTTTCTGACCAGAGTCCAACACTTTGTGACAAAAGACTCTCCGTTTTACTGTATTCACGTTTTAGTGTCTTGCGAAACATCAAGATTTTTTTACATGTTAAACATTTACTATTTTCTAAATACATTTCTTCACTTAACTCAAAAAATGATAATTATTTAATTCTTACATACGTAGTTACTTTTGCAATCCTTTTCTTTTAATATTACTAAAGTCAGTTTCGACTAGCAGTAGTCTGGTGCCGGTGCACAAGAAAAGGTGTTTCAAAAATTGTCATTATGTAGAAGACGTTTTCCTCTCCCTGCGAAGGAGCAAACATTGTCAATTTCGCGACAAGTTACAATCTGCTGTACTGTATATATCAGGTGTCATCGGAACCACCTGTAAGAAATTTGTACACTTAAAATTTACTGTTTAAAATTTCTTCACTTAACGCAAAAATTATGAGTTCAGAGATTTTTGGAGATATTATAATTGTCTAAGTGGTTAATGGCACCTTTCCGTCAGCCAATATTTATCAATAATCCTAAAACTCGATCTTGAATTCAATTAAAAGCACTTTATTTATGTTTATTGCCTCAGTGTGGGTCAAGTATCAAGTTCAAACGTTTTTTATAAATAAGCTTGATGGTAAAAAAATGAAAAAGAATACGTTTTACAACGTGGCAACTGATTAAAGGTATGGGGATAATACATAAAATTCTACAAAATAATATGAGTACATGTATTTTATTTTTTTGGATTAGATATTTTTATTATTTTTAGTTACAAAGTGAGAAGTTTGAAAACGGGAACCCCAATCAAAGTTGTGGTACTACAGAATGACACTGACTTTCCCGTATTAGTTTTCTATTTCCATTGGTCTCGGCTAGCTATTCGGACTTGCCATGGTAAATGCCTAATAAAATTAGGGGGGGAATATGGAGGTGTTAAACAAATCTAGGGAAGAATCAAATGTAGAAGAACAATTTGGGACAATTTTCTGAACTAATTCAAAATGATATTTTATTAGGGTTAGAAAATAACCCATAAGAACAGCTTACAGTTTACCTTTCTGCACAATAGCAAAATTCGTAAAAACTGTAGCTGTACTAAATTAACTATTCGCATCGTCAATACCATCAAGAATTTTTTATGGCGGTTATAAGTTTGAAATTGCAATATTACCTGTTCATATCCCGTATGGAGATAATCTACAAGGTAATTGGGTGTTGGGAATTTTTGAATGGGATACTGTAAAAACGTTATTGAACAAAGCTATGCATGAAATAAATTTTCAATACATGAAAAGACGTTTAAAACATTTTACAGTGTCGGAGAAGCCACATCCTACTAGTAATACATATAATGAGTGTCTTAATTTCTTGACCCATAATATTATTTAGTGGCGTTGTCTCAAACCACCCGAATCATTGACAACAAATATAGAAATATTTTGCGCTTATGAATATTGTAGTTACGATTGAAATATATTTAAGCAATATTATTAAAGCAAATTTCGATTATAACGGTGTACATCACCAACATTTGCGACTCAGTTTGAGTAATAAGTACTACCTGCAATGCTTACTTTTTCTTCCTTTTCCGCAACCTAACCCCACACGTATGCTGTTGCAGCCCTTTTGGGGACTAGACATGCGGCGCGGCCTGGAGCCAGCGTGGGAGCTTCACGGCCAGTACAGCACGGAAGTGTTCACAGCCGAAGCGGAGCGGCTGATTGCGGCGCACAACGCGTCGCGTCCCCTGTTCCTGCTGCTGGCACACGCCGCCGTGCACTCCGCCAACCCCTACTCCCCGCTGCCGGCGCCCGACAATGTGGTGGCGCGCTTCGACGACATTCAGGATTATCCGCGCCGGCGCTTCGCAGGTACGATCACTGTACGACCCGACCCGACCCGACCCGACCCGACCCGACCCGACGCTACCCTTTCCGATCTAATCTCATCCGACTCGATTTAAACACAACTCAAATTGTTTTTATTCCCATCTTAACAATATTCAAATTAAAAGAACATAAAAATTAAATTAGAACAAATTAAAGTTTTGGAACGTATGAATCTGTTTGCTCGTAACTTCGCTCATGTGCTCGCCTTCAATGTCCATACTATCACTGTACATGACTATCACACGTCTCGGGAATGATTGTCAGTAATTAAATTGTAAGTTTTTTGTATACTGATGAAAGAGTGTTAATGTATTATCAATATTAATCTTGAGATCTAAAAAAAGTATTCAAATGAACATTTACAAAACATCATATCATTATGTTCTTTTCTAACTGGAAGTATCAGCTTCAGAGTGTATGTAATGGAATGCGTGAAGGTCGATCGAATACTCGTACGTGATTATGAATTCGTACACAAGTGTCGAATTGCACACGTGAGTGTCGTGAGCGTTGTCTCGACAGCTTCCCATAAATACATTCTTCTGTCGCTCGAATCTCTTTAAGAAAGTTTTGCAGACGAGATCTTCGCCTTTGAATGATCGTGGCAAAAACTTGCATCTTGCATCTCTTTGTCTTCAGCCAATAACCTCTTGTATCAAACACTAAATATCCTATTTTTAAGGGTAACCCTAAGTACGAGATACTCATATATAAATAGACTCACATGGCAAATTGTGGCCAGTTTATTACTCAAAAGACTCTCGCCGCATTTCACAGACGATTTAGAACTTACAAATATTGCCGCCAGAGATACTCTTGTAGCCTGCTCTTAACCGTCTGCGTTCAACTTTACTGTGCTCTTTTATTTATTCTTCAGGTTGTTGAATCTTCAGAAAATGTAATGATAAATGTTTGATTTTTGGAACAAAAAAGCATCTATAACTCAAGAACTTCATGAATGTTTCTCAGCATCGAATTACGTCTTTAAAGAGTCAAAGCTAATAACTATCAGTGATATTAAGGTTGACGTTATACTTTTCGGAACCTCTGAAGTGAAGTATTGAAAACAAATCTTGCATTTCCCCAATAAAAAACGCACAGTGCCCTGAAATCAATGACAGGCAATGTGCCAATTGCCACCCACGTCCGCATTTATTTGTCTAAACAACGGTAGGACTGTAACAGGAACGGCGAATCGTGTACGAATGGGCGAGAAGCAAACGCACTTTTTATGCGCCCACTCACGTCCTTACGCATGCGTCATGGTAATCACGCGCCCGCCCGCACATGCGAAACTGCGCTAATGCACAGTCGTGAGAAATACGAAAAATCTGGTCAAAATTGGGAAAAGGAATTAAAATGTTTTATAATCTTACTTGATTGGATAAATGGGACAAGATTGCGCCTACGGGTAATTCATTTTATTTTCACAAAGGAAAACTTTCTCTTTGATAATTTTTGAAAATATCTAATACTCCACTACTCGCGCGGCGTATTTGAATACTCCTGCCTTGGATAACCGAAATATGAAGGAAACACGAGGAAGGAGAAGAGACAATACGGTCGGTGTAATACAAAATTCATGAAATATTTTACTAACAATACGTAATTTCATTGCGTGTTAAGTTTTAATATAAAAGAAAAAATAAAACGAACGAATACATTTTAGATTGGAAATGAAAAATAAGGAATCATATTCGTGTAAATTTATCTCTGTTTTGATATCTTAACTTTAGAATAAAAAGAAATAGAGCGCCACTATAAAATAATATAGCGGTAAGGATTGACCTGGCATTGCTAAAGAATAGTTATATTAGGTATATGGTGCTTTGAGCGTCATGTCTATTAGTTGACATAACAATGCAATCGATAAAGGTTTTCCTGCGGTCCGAAAGTGAGATTGATGTTTACTGACAGGGCCGCGCCATGGTATTTGCGTTAAGTTATTATTTTCCGCCCTGTTTACTAATGTTTTGAATTTTGTCACATTGGGTTATATTTAACTTATACAGACTAAATATACACATACATAATTTAGTTACAATATATACGTATTAAATGCTAACATCTATAACATTCATATTCAATTTATTTTACTGTATGCAGAAGTTAATTTTACGAGGTTTAATTTCCAAAAAGGTTTTGGCTACATCATTTATGTCAATGATATTGCAAATATCTTTCTATTAAAATGATCTGTAAATCAGATAATCGTTCTTCATTCATTATCGATAAATAATTTTTTATTAGCTCTAATTTAGAAATCGTTTACGAGTACGACGGTGGCAGAACATTGTTTAAGTTCTACGAACAGACTGTTATACACCATTTGATTTCGGCAAGTGAAAGTGAAATGAGCTATTTTATTTTACTTTATTTTTTGAGATAACTGACCAAAGTGAAGCATCATGTTTCAATCATCTGAATCTGGAATTTGTAAACAAAACGACGTGAGCATAATAAAAGTTGCTAATCAGAGTCGAGCGGCGACTATACAGTTGCCGCATAAATAATAAAAGTAACCGATATTATAATATACAAAATTGACGAAATCTCCGAAAATTGCGTTACTTTCATTTATTTATTAGTGTACTTATTTTGTCGACCCATCATATAATACTAAAAGAGTTTTTATACTTTTGAATAAAAGGGTAAACTTTTTTTCGTTTAAAAATGGAAAAATAATGCAGATAGTAAAAAAATTAAGTTTTTGTCGCCCTTGCGGTGCACCGCTTGCACTAGGATTGGCGTGGTTCTATTTACTGTGTTTACCCCTATTGATAGTCACCAACGACTTGGTGGGCGAGGTGGCTCCGTGTGTAAAGCGAGGGTAGAGTTGCAGTGCGTGTGCACTGTGCCCTAACAATGAAATACGTCGTATCTTACGCAGATGTTTGCATGAGGGATGCAAATTGTATTTCATACAATTTCATTGAAGTCGTCGTTTCATTGAATTTCTTTGACGTCGTGTAAATAGGTCGCATGTCAAAACAAAATAATTTTTGTTTATTATACCATTGTGATAAATCTACAGAAATAGAGAAGTAGCAATAGGTCGTAATAGATTTACTAATTAATAACCAAATATCATGATTTTGATAAAGCGACTGTCAAAACAGGGAGATGTAGGGAACATTTTTTGTTCCTCATTAAAACTTCAGTAGATTTGACATTCCATCTATTGCGACTACCACACTCTGGTTTCCGGAAAGTAACACCACACAAAACGTTTACCTTGGGATATCCGGCGCGAGTAATGCAGAGTTAATCATTTCATCGAATTTATAGATGTTCAAGACTAACCTTAGTTATCCCACATAAATTAAAATATTTCAGATAGAAGTTGATAGTGACACGGGAAATAGACTTTGGAGTTTGATTGCAGTTGAAAAATTGATATTACATCTTCTTGCCGTATGAATCAGATAACATTATACTTATGTTAAACAAAACTTCGTTCTCACTCTTAAGCTAAGTATTTTAACCCATCATAACAATTAAAACATAAATAATTTGTAAACAGTATATAATACGTATGCACCTCTCTCTAATACGATAGCTATTTTATGTAGTATGTATTTATGTATTTCGCATTTTAGGGTCAGATTAACCTGACTTTCGCCAGCTAGCAGTGTTTCCACGCCAGGGCTCTGTTTTTATTCGTCTGTATTTATTTGTTATCTGGAGGTAAGGGAGATGTCGCGAACATGGTGCACTCACACCCGTACATAGCCTCATTGGCCTGCCTAAGCTCGGCCTTTGGTCACACAGGCGCACAAATAAACATGCTAGTTTGTGTTGAAAAGCTACAAATTCATTTCTGCCCCGCCTGGGAATCGAATGCGGGGCCGCCTAAGCTAGCATTCTGATCAAGTCACACGATGGGCTTGGAAGCCATTTCATGATTTACGTATTTAAAGTGTATAATTCATACAATTTCATATAAAATAGAATATCTTGTTCTAATCGCATGAAAATTAAACTTGCAGTGTGTCTAATGATTTAATATTGTTTGTGCAGCGATGCTGTCTGAGCTGGACCAGTCGGTGGGTCGTGTTGTGGCAGCTCTGAACAGAGCTAAAATGCTCAGCAACAGTATCATCATCTTCTCTACAGACAATGGTGGTCCTGCAGCTGGTTTCAACCGGAATGCTGCATCCAACTGGCCACTTCGAGGGGTGAGTTACATAAAAATGGTATGGTTTTTGTCCACTATTTCCAGTAATGTATCGCCAAATTAATAACAAAGCCGAAACCTTGCGATTCAGTGAGGGATCACGTTATTGCCTTCTTTCCGTCCTTTGACATATCTTTATTGGAGAGAATTTGTAGATTATAAATTATATTTCTAAAGAATGATGATTGCAACCTATTGTATTGAGTTTTTTTATTCTTTGATAATCTTCCTGGAGGTGAGTATCTTATGTTTTAATTTCCTTTCTACCCATTTGGTCAATTTCTTTTCACTGTTGTTCTGTTAATTCAAAAAGAATTCAAACTGTATCACATGCCAATTATCCTCAAAAAGATATTATTTAATATGTTGCTCTTTGCAGTGGGTAGCTTCTATTTATATGTAACTTTCTTCTATAATACTGCCCAAAATGAGTATTTTTTCGCAACGAGAAACGAAACTTGGAGATGTAATATTCGAATAATTGAATTCAAAAATAATTATTTTTAATATAACATATATTAATTTGTATTATAATGGTAAGAACTGATAGATATGTGTGCGTAATTTATGAACTTCATGAGACAAGGAAGCGATCTATTATTTTACGGTCAATGACATTCAACGTTTCGCTGAGTGCTTGTTGATTTGCATGACAACGCTCTCTACAACGAAGCTTCTCGCTTTGAGAGAATCCCCATACAAAAGAGGACCAAAACAAACTCGACACTGAGTGCAAACTGGCTAAGCTGCCAACGGTTTGAGGCTACAACGAACTCCTCACAATGCCAGACATGCATGAACTACAGTCGTTGGTTCAAGTTTATCATTTTAAGCAAGTTTGTTTGAATATTAGATTCAAACATCAAATTTGTTAAGAAAATATTTTATGATCATTGCCATTATTTTCCTGCCTCTGAATGTCATTGTGTTTGTAAATAACCATTACTTTACGGATAACTATTTAAAATTTAGTTTTCTTTGTAATTTTACACCTCATTTGAAATAATACAATTGAAATGAGGTACTTGATTACTTTGTTTGCAAACTTTTATTCCCCCCCGCTAACAAACTTATAACTAGTTGTTATCACTGTGAATACACATGAAAGAAATTTATCTGAAAATTTCCAATGCACGAGTGTTTATGAAGAATAATCCACGAATGAATTTTTTTTATTTATTCTAGCTTGGCCATTGGCCCTCTGCAGCCGCTTCAGAAAATACATTAATATGATTTATATACAAGAATCTTGAGACATTATAAGCAGAAATTTAGTGTTAGATATAATACAATACAGTGGTTATTTTTAGTATTTAATAACGAGAAAAGACTCATCGGTTTATGTCTATGGGAGATCGAAAAACTCTCTCGGTAACTTTCTTTTTAACCTTTTGTGGTGAAGATTTTGCTTACCTATGTGAAAGTGAATAGCTGAAGGGATCTTTAATATTTTGGAATAGACTTTTACGGATAAGAGGGAGAAATGGACGGGAATTGGAGTAATGCCAAATTCATTATGTAACTGCGCATTCGGAATGTACCAGGGAGCTTTTGTGATGGTGCGTAGGAATCTATTTTCAAAAATTTGGATCTTGATGTTTGTTTTGGCTGCTGCAGCCCAGACTGGGGAAGCATAGGAAAATATGGGTTGTATCATTGCTTTGTAAAGGTGAATAGCAACATGTAGTTGTAGGGGAGATGATTTTTTGAGAATCGGATATAATTGATGGACTCTACTAGTTGCTAGCGCTATTCGGTTTTATATTTTGACGCCCTGTAAGCCTTTTATCGAATAGGACTTCAAGATATTTGACAGTTTTATTGGGAGGGGTAGGTGATGTTTTGTGAATGGTATGTGAGATTTGGAGGGACGCCTAGTCTACAAAGGGTTAATATTTTTGCCTGGCAGTTGAAACATAATGAGAAGTGATGCTGCAGATCTTTCACGGCAGATTGAAGATTGCTATTGGAGAAATAAAATACTGTATTATCTGCAAACAGAGCTATTGCAGTATTTTCGGTGATTGGTATATCCCAAGTGTAGGCATTAAATAAAGTGGGGGAGATGGTGGATCCTTGAGGTACTCCTGCTTTGATGGTGAAAGGTGTGGAGAGAACTCCGGGGAGATGTAAAGAAAATGTTCGGTTTGAAAGAAAACTTTCGATGATGCGTGAAAGATAATGTAGTACCTACACTACGGAGCTTGAAAGTTAACACTGGGTGCCAGACGGTATCGAACGCTTTGGCAACATCTAGAAAAACTGCTTCAGTACGCTTGTATTCATGAAATCCTTCGATAATATCATCAGTAAGTCGTAAGATTTGATGATATGTGGACAAAAGGGGTTGGAATCCAAACTGATAAGGTGGTAAGGCATTGACTAGGCTGAGATAACAATTCAGCCTAGATAATATACTTTTCTAGATAATATATTTTTCAAATAGCTTTCCCATTGTGGGTAACAAACTAATCAGGGAATAGCTGGTTGGATGATTTTGAGCTTTCCCTGGCTTCAGAATGGACGTCCATCAAGATGAAAGCCCCACTTGTTCGAAATTCAAAATCAACTAGCCTATAATTTTGTACTAATTATGTACTAATTTTGTAATCAACTATAAACAATAAAAAAACACATGTAACCTCAAATTCAAAATCAACTAGCCTAACATTATATACTAATTATGTACTAATTTTGTACAAAAATATAACATTTGGTACTCAACTATGAACAATTAAACACCGGGTGTCAATGAAGCACTTTGCACGTATATTTTCCGATTTTTTAAAACACTTTTTGAGTTAATTTTAAAGTTGAATTTAATAATGCAGTTTAACAACACAGTAAAGTTTTTCATGTAATAATTTCAAAATTTTATCTGTCCTTCAACAGAGATATTACAGTCTACAAACATTAAAAATTTCGAGCAGTTGAAAACAAAAATGTCCGCCGTCGCACACCCCTTCGTAGAAATTCAAAATTAGCTCGTTTATATTCTTCTGCTAGATACGTACTAATTATCTAACAAAATAAATACTTTTGTACCCAAATAATAAACAATTAAAAACGGCTGCCAATAAAGCATTTTTCAAGTAAATTTCCGATATTTCTAAAACAGATTTAGAGTCAAATATCAAAGTTGAAATTAATAATGCAGTTTAGAAACATAGTGAATTTTTACATGTAATAATTTCAAAATTTTATCTGGTCCCTCATCAGTGTTATTACACTCAACATATCCGAAATTTTTGGGAGCGGCTCCAAACAAAAGTGCCCTCCACCGCAACTCCATCCTCAGAAATTCCAATTTAACTTGCCTATAATATTCTACTAACTTTGGACTTATTTTATAACAAAATAAATAATATTGTTCTAGACTATAAAATTGAAAAGCGGGGGCCTTTGTAGTACATTCAGTTTAAATTCGCGAATTTTTTAAGCCTGTTTTGAATCAAATTTCGGAGTTAAAAACGTATAATGCAGTTCAACATTATAATTAACTTTTATATGTAATAATTTCAATATTTTATCTTGTCCCACAACAGTGTTATTACACTCTACAAACGCGAAAATTTGGAGCGGCTCCATGCAACAGTGTCCGCCACCGCACTCTTCTTCTCAGAAATTCTAATTTAATTAGCCTTTCATATTCTTCTAATTATGTACTGATTTTGTAAAAAAATATATAAATTTGTACTCAACTGTAAACTGTTAGAAAACGGGTGCCAATGAAGTGCTTTCCGCTGCCATTGAAGTGCTTTTACAACGCGTGTCGCAACAATTTCTACTCGCAGAATAAAATCACTTTCATCACGAGTGGCGCAATCACTTCTACCACGCGTGTCATACACTATTTTTAAACATTCTTACTGACTTTTGCTTTATGTTTATTCTAGTATACAAGTCATTTAATGACACGTTGAGGTCAGCAGTAGGTGTTGCGGACACGCGGTAGTATTGTCTTCTTTGGATTCACATATTTATCAGAAAATTTGAGTGACATGTCACTTCTAGCACTAGTGCTAAAAATTGAACTACTAGCACGCTAGGCATACGAAATTATTACTAGAGGTGATCTAAAAATAATATTCGTCACTCTAAAACTTGAGGGGAATGCTAAAAGTAGTGGTAAATAAAAAAACTATCTACAGAAGAAATTGTCACTTTTTTGGGCTAAATAGTTGCCACAAAAGAAATTTTATTGCTCTTCAATGAATACAGAAATACGATTCTCTGCAAACGTATTAGCCCAATAATTTCAGGAAAACGAGGAAATCACGAACATAAATGAAAAACGTTTACGTAGGAAATTATCGCTATTATTGTTGCTAATTAGTTGTGTAAAAACTGTCATGCTTTAAAACCATTACTGAAAATGCCAAATTTGGCAAAAATTGATAAAATTATTTATGATGATTCTATTAGCTGATGTATTTTTTTCAAGTAAATTGGGGAATGTTGATAGTATTTTTTTATGTCGGAAATCACAAGGGTTTGAGGAGTTTGGTCATGTTAGAAGTAGTCGTAGTACAAAAGCAAGTTTCTACATTCGGGGGAAATATTTAGTTGAATTAATAACTATTTTCTTTAACAAGGGCGCTATAAGGGTTCTAATTACCGAGCGGCGACAAAAAGCCTGAGGGCCAAACGCTTTGCATTAACTATTTTTCGACTCCTTCGCAATGTGCATTGAGGAAACACACCATCACCTGAGAGAAATGCTTATGTTTCCAGCATCTGCAGTGACTTTCCTTTAAACGTAGGATCTATTTCAAGGACAGCGGATGCAAAAAGTCATTGTCATCTAAGGGAATATCGAATTAATTATTTAATCTAGCTCTCAAATTCCAACATTTTTAACGTGTTTCATACTCCATACAATTTGCTTGAAAAGATAAGAAATAATCTTACCGTTTCTGACTTGTTGCTATACATAATTTCAAAGTATTTTCTAATTATTCCCATTATAAGTTTTAATAGATTTAAAACGGTTGTGCCTAGATGTTCTTTCAAAAGAACTTTTAACTCATTTGTAACTCATGGAGCAGAAGACCACAAGAGGCATGAAGTTAACCATGGAGCATGCTTGTTAGGCCCACTAAACACCAATATTTTTTATTCTAACTAATATTAATAAACCTCTACGCACAAATTTTAAATAAAAGGCTCGTTAATATCTATGGTATTGTAATAGTAAAACAAAATTGTTTTACAAAAGGACGTTCTTCGAGAGATTTTTACCATACAACTAATGGGAAAACGTATGGTATTTAATCGAAACCCTCATTTAGCTTTCATGGAATACGAAGGGAGTCGGCAGCACAACCTGGGGACGCCAAGACATTTTGCCATATTTCGCTTTGCAACGCATATATTCATCTCATTTGGATGGTTGAAACTTCGCCGGATCCAGAAAGCATGTCACCATCCGCTCGTGTACGTTTACATTTCTTAAATTTCTTGACAGTAAAACAAAGTTGAAAATGGGTTTCGGCAACTTTTGAAAAATACTTCAGAGCGTAATATGTATTAGATCACCTGTTCACGAAAGTTGCCTTGACCCGTCCAAGAAAAAAAATAGGAAATGCTTATGAACACTCTTGCCATTCAGCACAATATACCTTGTTACGACGTGCGTTGCTGGTAATGTAAATTCTTCGGTAGTGCTGTGATCTATTGAATTTTCGTTCCCTGAACATTTCTTAACTTAAACGGGTGGAGTATTGGATTGCGAGGTTACTATGACATTTTGTAACATTCAATGATTGAAATTTTAAGGACAAATTACGTTCTCACATATTCCTTTACTATTCAACTGATGTTTATTTAACGTGAATATCAAATGTAATTTGATGTGTTATGAAATATTGAATTTGCCATACTACCACGTGCACTTCAAAATACTAACCTACATGGTTTCCATTCCTGTTTGATTTGTTCAGATTTTTGGGTTTCGTGTAAAAGTGAATAATTAACATTAAAGTTCAGAACTAATTCTAAATTTATAGTACTTTCAAATTTATACAATTTATAATTTCAATTAACGTTTCAAGAAACAAAGTAAATTGCATTCTCCATAGTCACAAAACGAATATAAATTTTACTTAAATCAAGGATGTTGGGAACATTGTTGTACCTTTAGGAGATAGTATTTGGGATTTCTTTGCAAAGATGAGGAATAAGGGTTTCCATTGATCAGGACGCTCATATTTTCCCACCAGATCTTAATACAAAATTACATCGTAATATCTTAACCCATTTTACAATGCTCTTACACACCTTTCGTACAATTCAAGCACAAAATCACAAATGATCAGAAAATAATTAAATTTACCACAAAAAATCGAAATATTCAATTTTTTACATTTTGAAACTTCTTTCAAACAATTTTAAAAACCAAACTGGTGCACCAGGTATTAGTTTAGAGTAGTTGCAGATTTTTTAACGCTTCTACATTTTTTCCACATAATTTACGTTCATACATTTCGAACGTTTCGATTTAGCGTGACTTTCTAAAAATAACATTCTTAACGAAGTTCATTTACTCAAAACTATCGCATTAATATTAACAAGACGAGTTTGGCATTTCGAAACCTGCAACGAACTTTATACAATGTTAAAATACATGCTTAATAAAATTCTACATTTTCAGTAGCGTTCCTTTCATACATCTTCACCGCACGATTGAAAGCTGCCCCTGTGGACTTTCTGAAACAAAAAAAAGGCCAAATACCTACATTCTACAACAGTCGGTCATTGAATTTCACAAGATAACTAAACATCTTAATATTTGAAACTGAATTACGTTAAAATTCTGAATCGCTATTACATACTCATAAGTTTTTATTCAATCAGTAATTGGGAAAGACTACAAACTTTTGTCTCTGATATATCCAATCTCTAACTAAGCGAAATAAAAAGATACTTAATTTAATTTCTACTTCTTTTTTGGAAATCCAATTAAAATATTTTTGAATCATAGCATAATTTATAATTGTGAGTGTGTTACATTGAACAATATCATAATTTTTAATCTTAAGAGAACGAATATTTATTGAAGTTTCCTGGTAAGTCGATTTTGGAAACATTCCTTTACGAAGCACTACGAAACCATTACGATTAAAGTAATTTATATTGATCAAAATGTCTAGGGCATATGGGGGTGCCAAATTACTTTTTCGAGTGAACCTGTCGGTAGACACCAATAAGTATCTAGATATACAAAATGCCCAATGAGGGCGGTTTGTCTCAGTTTATAGATTGTTCTATCCGATTTTTCTTACCGCTTCTCCCTACTGGCCAATCAAACTGAATGGTCTATCTTAGGAATTAAATAGTAGAATTTTGAAAATTTGCACTATTTGAACACGCCTCCACTCATGTTCAATACAATTTATACATCAACTTCAGATATTTAAATGACTTTATTAACCTTAAAAAATTGTTAGGAGTTTGAGTAATAATGTAAGTAGGAATATTACGTATGCCCGTCTTTCATTTAAGTTTACGAAATTCTCGAAAATATCTAATCCTGACGAAAGTGTCATATAGGATTTTAAAATACAACTTCTTGCATTCGAACTGCCATTGAAAATGCCAATGAAATGAAACTGAAAATTTAATGAATATTAAGAAAAGTTTATTGAAAGATGCATAGCCATCTTAGATTTTGAAAAACAAAAATAAGATTTCTGGCATTTTGCGCGGTTGCAATTGGTCCAATTACTTGTATTTCAAATGTTGACGTAATTAGACTTATGTTAAAAAAAATTTGTAACGAAGTTTCATATTTTTATGAAATCTTAACACTAGCGTGAAACGTATTGTGTGAAAAGTATATAGGCAATATCAGATTTAAAATCCAACATTCATACTGATGATAAGTATCTATATAGGCAAAGAAAGACGTTAGTAGCACAACTATATCACCGGACGAAATAAAAGATCAGCCAGATTCAAAATCCGGGCCACAATGAAGATTACAATCGCCTATGAAATTACAAAATTCCTTCAAAAAACCTTACTCCAAAAGTCTGAAGGAACATTTAATCAGAATATGAGGATGAAGGTAGTTTGTAATAATTATTAAAAACCAATCATTTGTGCGATTCTATAATTTGACATCACGGAACATGGAATGGATTCTAATAATAAAATGTTCTACTTGTATATATAATCCGGAAAACAAAGTAATAACAATGGAAAACAAATCTTTTGGAAAACTAATAAATCAAAAAAGTCTCCAATTGCAGTTGATAATTTTTTCTAGTTCGTTTCATATAAACATTTTGAGATGGTGGAGATTTAAAGGTAAATAAATAGCCGTCCTTTGTTCAATGAATTACAGAAGTAATGGAACCTCAATTTTGAATTCTCAAGAAGACATTAACAGACAACAGAATAGAAAGTTGTGATAAAGGATGTAACAGAAGCTCTCTTTGCATGATGTTGTACGGAACAATGCATTGAGACTAGACAACAATTTAAGTATACCACAATAAAGTGGAAAATAAGCGGAAATGTGGGCTTCAACAAAGGATCGAAGAGAGTATGCGGCCACTGAAGCACGAACGAGATCATTGTAGTTAAGGTGAACAGGATAAATTTAGTAGTTCAAGAAAAAAAATAGAGTACAAAATATACTCAGAAGATATTTCATTTGCACATACTCATTTCAAGTGGATGAACGGGTGAGTCAAAATTAATTTTAACTTAAATGTCCGAAAGAAGGGGTGGAAGAATAAAACCCCATTTTGATCTGAAGACTCAAGTACTAGAAGTAATGTGTGAGAAAGGATTTCAATTATGTCAATGGGAGGAGGGGGGGGGCGAGATGTCTGGAGTTCGTTGAGTAGATAGAGAAAGCGAAGTTGGACCAGTTAGAACTTGCGATATTTATTCTGTATATCATGGATAGCGACTACTCAGGACCTGCAACAAAAGAAAATATTGTGTACATTTCATTTTTTTCTATTAGTTTCTAAAAATAAATCTATAATTTATGATTTAATTTTCTTTTTTTATAATTTCAATTTAATTTTTGCAAATTACGTTTACCTCAATTTCCGAGTGAATAATGCATGTACTTTCAAAGGCAGGGTCTCTTGTCAAAACAAATTGTGCACGTTTTCTCTAGTTTCATAACCCCTACCACACCTTTTTACCTGAACATAGTTAAATTATTAATGAATTACCAATAAAACGTGCTTACAGATGCTGACTACAGATTTGCGAATAATCTGAAGGATGAGAGATTTAAAACAAATCTAAATAGAAAACCCACGGTACTATACAAACCGCTGTCTTTACACATTTTATTTTTCACATTTCACACAGATGAAACACGGGATAGCTCAATTCTTACCAAGCGTTGTCTTGCTGAATACAGATTCATATTCGGTAAGCCCACTTTTTAATAGTCTTGTAAGATGGTTACGTCTGTCTATCACATTGAAGAGTACCTGAAACAGTGAAGTTACTGGCACAGACATCTGGTCTTCAGAAAATCAATACATACTTCTACAGAGTTAAAACCCTGTAAATGGTGTATTGATTAATTATTCGCCAGCGCAAGTATAAGGAAATCATTTAGGGGTAAATTTCATCGTTTTTCCTTAATTGCATTTTTTTCTCATTTCTTACAGTTATTTTAAACATGTTGAAATGTATCCTAATGCTGAAAAATAAGCAGAATTAGAGCTGAAAAATAAGCAGAATTAGAGCTGAAAAATAAGCAGAA